TACCTCCTTGACTGCATTATTCGGCTCTACTCTTTTATGTGAGTCAGCCTTTTCCCACAAAGAGATCATTAAGTCCAAGCACCGTTCCACCAGGACTGATGATCATTTGGAAGTGTGCTTGAGGCTGGCTGTCAGCAGCTCCTGTCCGGACTATGCATCCCCGGCTCATTCCATTCCGTGCAAGTCATCAGAGTAAACTCAGGTAATGACAAAAATTATACAGTTAATTGTCTTGTATTGTGCAATATGGACTCATGCAGTTATGTAAGGTACACAAACATATATTGTACATATAAAGAATTCTCAATGCACTTATGAATAATGCAATAAATAAATATAAACATGTTTTGCATTTTTGTAGTTGGTAGAACATTTTGACTTGATCATTTTATAAGTAGCTCACCTACTGAAGAAAGTGTGAGCACCCCTGGTCCACTGCCTAGCAGACCAAATTATTAGAATTATGTGTGAAGCCATTTGAGCAGGTTCCTAGTGAAGATCCAAAAGAATTATAAAGGTGATATCATATATTTTTCATATATCCAGTGCATAAACTTTAGGGTCTTCGCTATTTGATTCTAAATTTTGGCAATTCAGAGGACCTTTTCCATATGACCCGTTTCTTGACCCCCATGGAAGATATATGAGGAGGCTTTGCCAGTGAGTTTCACTGTCATTAGGAAGGAGATCAAATGATACAATTGGACACTGGCTATTTCAATAGCCAGTGGCAACCACAAGGTGGTGCTGGTGTTATTAGAACTTCACATGGGCGTCCCTCACGTCCGCATCAGAGAAAGAAGCCTGCTTGTGGAGGGTCAGACTCTGAGTTCAACGTCCAGAGTCTAAGTCCAGCCTTCACCTGCCGAGCGTGTTCGCCGTGTTACCTCAGTTCAAGGTTCTCATCTACAAAATGTCACGTTTGCTTTTCACCTGGTGAGTTCAATGGATGTATGGAAACGTCCTAATGACAGTGTTTGCTCCTTCTCTGTTCTTTTTTCCCAAACCAGGGCCCACACCTGAGGCACAGTCCTTGGCAATTGTGCACGGACACCAGTATCATCGTTCGCATGTGGCAGTTCATGCGGCCAGAGGGAGACGGTTGTGGACCCCTGGGAAGCATGCAGCTGCGACACTAACAGTGAGGAGTCAAAAGAGTGTGATCCGTGGAGCCCATACCTTTGAGCAGTGTACTGTCCGCAGCCATGACTGTCACACGTCCGGATTTCGTTGTACGACCTGCCAGCACACAGACTGGCCCATGGTCCAGCCCAGACTGAAAAGGAGAGACAGGAAGAGCAGGTGTTCATTCTCCATTCGTCTTCCACTGCCTTTTCAGAATTCTGTTCCCAAGATAGTTTTCTGCTGAATTTCTACTTCACCAGTCTAGGGAGCAGTCTTCCTCTAACTTGACGTTCAGATGTCAAATTTTGTTGATGACATGGAATGTTTGCAAATGTGTTTATTTAGAAGCATTCACTTCTATAATGAGGCTGCCTGCTCCCATAAAGATGTACAGTCCCGCCTGCTGGCTTGGAATTAGCCTGATGGCAGTGCGTAATATACACTACGCTTTTTCATTATTATTATGTTTTTACTCACTATCTAGAATAGGATCATGATGTTTGCATTTAGTAAAATCATCAAATGACATGACTTTATATATATATATTTAGAAATGCAAAGGTAATGTTTAAATTCTTCTTTATTCTTATCCCTGGGAATAAAAGGCAAGCAAATGCTTGAGTTGAAGGAGAAGCAAACTCTGAACTAGCAAAGTTGATGGTACATTAAGTACAGTATATACTTGAGTATAAGCCGCCGCCCAAATATCAGCCGAGGCACCTAATTTTACCACAAAACTGCATTAAAAATGTGCTGAAAAACTCAGCTTATACACGAGTATATATAGTAAATTTCTCCCATGTTTGTAAACATGGAAGGGGAAGATTCTTAGAAATAACATGTCAAAACAATTTAGCTAAGATTGGTAGAGTAGGGAAAGGACCTTTCAGGAGAACACCGTCTCATCTTTGTCCCATGGAATGATTGGTGGGTTTGAACTGCCGACCTTAAAGTTTCACAACCCAACACATAACCCATTATGCCTCCACAGCTCTCCTTGAGAAAAAGAATAAACTTGCCGATGCGTCAGTTCTATGAGTCAATGCTGACTCATAGCAACCCTCTAGGACAGGGCAGAAATGCTTCCTGCGAGTTTCTGAGACTATAACTCTTTACAGGAGTAGAAAGCTTCATCTTTCTCCTGTGGGAAAGAGAATAGATAGAATTAAAAGAAGACCTATGAAGCAGTAAATTGTAGAGAAGGGACTAGCTCTCTCAGTGTTCTGTACAGATTTTAAGTTGTGTCTTGTCTCTTTAATTTAGTAAGCATTGCTAAATGTTCAAATGAATTAAGTGTCCTGGGTTTCAAATAAATATTCACAGAGACATGCAGTTAGCAAACACCGTTCACTTCAAAATAAACACAGACAAGACCCTGCTAATTTGGTTGTGGACTTTATCCTATTCAGTATCACATGTGCTATGAAGAGACGCTATGGATTATAGCTATTAGCTTAGTCTTTAATTTCACAAGTACAGGTGAATTTCAAAAGTCTTAGACCTTGAAGCTAAACTTCAAGCCAATGCTTGAATCAAAACAGAATACCAGACTTTGGCAAACTAATTTTTAAGCATTTGGAATCGAGACGCTTCTTATTCTATTCATTATAGTCCACCTTTTTGTCTCCCACTGTAACTTTTAAGTGAGCACTGCCCTGTGTCCTGGGTCAGCATTTATCTAAATCAAGTGTCCACACGCTGCTTGACAGCCATTGCTTCTTCATGAAACCACAGACTTTTAGTTTCTACTTTTGACCAAAATTGAAGGGCTTTTCTGAACACCCTCCCGTTCATGTCAATAATTTCCTCATGGAAGAACCAAGACATTCGGGGTGGTACGTCAGCACCCCCACCCCCACCCCCACCCCATGTCTCTTCCCTTTCCTCTCTGATTAAGTTAACACACATGTTTCTGTGGTGACTGCTAGTTAAATGACTTTTCCATCTGAACCCTGATGTCACATTTTAAAAAATCCGCCGAGACTCTCAGATAGAACAATAGGCTTACCAGGTGAGGTGGAAACAGCCAGAAGGAGGACTCTTGTGAACAGCATTTGGTTTGGCTTTCTTTGGGCGGGCTCTCCCTCTGGCCACCAGAATCGCTCTCAGCGGACTTTGGAGGGAGGCTCGGGTGTCAGTTCACACGCTAACTCTAGAGCCTTGGAATGTTGCGTCTCTGATGCCTGTCCTTCAGTATGAGACACACACACACACAATAAGGAGCACAAATGAAGGAAGTCAAATTGTGATATTCCAAGAATAGCTCTTCGATTCACAAGCAGGACTTCATAAAGCATTCAAAACCCTTTGATCTGAAGAAGAAGTCAATATAAGTGGGAAAGCTGACTAAATATTAACAGAAAGCGAGAAGGCTGGGTACCGATGGACAGTCTCCAGGGCTGTGGCGGCAGAAAAATGTCCAAGAGTGGACTGCTTGATATTATCTGCTAGTAAATCTTTCCTTCTTTTCTGGGGTAGTGTATGTTTCAGAAAATAATTGACCACTGATAGTATAAGATGCTTCATAACACAGTCTGTAGCATATTTCTTAGGCTTTTTTATTTTAATAATCAGTTCAGCTATGTTTCATCTGTGTAATACTTGTGAAGGATTGTAATGTTTTAATAAGATTGCACTTATTTTCTGTAAATATGTGTCCTTAAGGTTTTGCCTCTTTGTAATGATGAAGAGTTAGCAGCATCCATCAACAGGGATGATAGGCTATGATATAATCATACAGTGGAGTATAATAGAGCAGATTCGAGGAAGGCAATCTATCTGTGTTAAGACAACTAATCTGCACAGACACTACCGAATTTAAAAACCCAACTTTAGAACGGCATGTATATTTATCATTTGAAAACACAAAGATGGGTATTAGTTTTCACCAATCGCTGCATATATAATAGAAACACAAAAATTTTACAGTTCCATTTTAGACTAATAGGTACCTTTGGGAAGGGAGAGAAATTGAAGTGTTGAGGGGTATACAAAGTACTTAAATTCAAAAAGACTGTATTTGTAAAAGATGGAGAAAGCAGTGAATCTGTAAACTAGGGACTGTTGGCTTTGAGAGATAGCTCTCTGCCACTGAGTCGAGTTTGACTCCTGGTGACGCCGTCGAACAGGGTTGAGGGGCGCTGAAAGAAGACCTTCCACCACAGGGATTGACACAAACATACGGACCCCTGTGAAGAGGGCGCAGGACCGGGCAGTGTTTTGTTCAGTGTCCACAGGGTCTCCATGAGTTAACCCTCTCAATGGCCCCTAACAACCACGACAACAACAGTTACCTTGCTTACCATTAGCTCATAAACAGGAAATAAAAATCTGTGATATAAAAGGCAGAGTTATACATTGGAAGGTGGCTTTTCACCATTTCTCCACAGATTAAAGGAGTAAAACTTAAAAGAGAGAAATTTTAGAGATGCATAAAGTAGAAGAAGAAAAGATTAGAGAACTCTGCCCAGGTGTACTCTATTATATTTTCAGCGTCTTGCTACACAGTCATAGAAATCTTTGCTTAGCAAAACTATAAAAAATGTGAGGCTATTGTTTTTGGACACACCCTCCATCTAAGTCTGTATGCTTCTAAAGACAATATTTTATCTCCCTAAATTTTCCGGACACATTACGTATTCTTTGATTTACACCTTGTCAAAGCAACAGTTTTGTCACCCTTGAGGGACTCAAATAATCTCTCTTTAAATGTTCTTTGAGTTGTGGGAACAATAATAAGTGCTAAAGGGTAAGATCAGGGCTATAGGGAAGATGGGGTAAGGTTTCCCCATGAACTTCGCATAGGATAGCCCTTGTTACTTTCAAAAACAAGCAGATTCGTAGTCACATAGTACATTTGTTGCCATCATCATTTTCAAAACATTTTCTTTCTTGAGCCCTTAGTATCAGCTCCTCATTTTCTGCTCCCCCTCTCCCTCCCTCATGAACCTTTGATAAATTATAATTTATTATTTCATGTCTTACACTGACCAACGTCTCCCTTCACCTACTTTTCTGTTGTCCGTCCCCCTGGGAGGGGGTTATATGTAGATCATTGTGATTGGTTTCCACCCCCACCCACCATCTTTCTCTTCCCCTCCTGGTATCGCTACTCTCAATATTGATCCTGAATGGTCTATCTGTCCTGGATTCCCTGTGTTTCCAGCTCTTATCTGTACCAGTGTACATGCTCTGGTCTAGCTGGATTTGTAAGGTAGAATTGGGT